ACAGGTTCACACTTTATAACGAAACACGCTTAACTAAATTTAGGTAATCGTGCTCAGTTAATGCATTGAGAGGTGAAAACTAGTGGTAATTTGGTGCAAACTCAACAACACCACGATTAACATAATGAAAAAATTGGACTGAAATAATTTGCTATCTAAAATAGCCTATATATTTTTCTGACGGATTTTTCTGGTAGACGTAAATCATCTAGCTGATGTTAAATTTATTTACATTTAGTTTTCACCTTAACAGGAATCATAACATTTGTCGGTGAACATCCAGGCTACTGAAAGTCAAGTGGATGAAAAGTGGACGTCTGGCTGCAACAGTCCACGTGAAAACTTTGACTGTTTTTGGGCTATCAACGGGTATCAGTCAGAAAGCCAAAGGGATAGAGCATCGTATGCGGTCAACAGTTAAAAACATCACAAATTTGCAGTTTAAAAACCAGATCCAACTTACCCTTCCATCAGGCTGCCTGTAACAGTTTTAGAAATCCCAGAGGGTAACATAATGTGAAGCAATGTTCCATGTTGATGTTCCAGGTTTAAATCCTACCGAAAAGTAATTTCTTACACGTATTTCGATAGGTTCGCGTTTATATGCAAACAGTCAAATTAGTTTTAGAACTTCCCACAAAGTTGCGTATTAGATATTTGCACTGATAGCGGTAAAATGAACTGTGCAACCGCGATTATTGTGCTGCGTAGCTCCAATTCTTCAAATTGGGCCACGTGAGCGAAACACTAGGGTAAAACGCATAAGCCAACAAAACCAAAAATGTTCGTGCGGTGAGATGGTTTGAGCTGAGTACGAAACCTTGGGTATTTATTTGTCGCAATAAATGAAAATTTTGCATCGAATAATTTTTCTCTGTGGGCAAGATGCACTCATTCATTTAAGAGCTCTATGCTGACGGCAAGACAAATAATACAGCTCCATATATGAAGTTCCGGTTTGGTATTAAGGATATTTACCTCAATAAACGTTCATTTTCGTATGAAAAATAATAATAGCAATGTGCACGGAAGGTTTTGTTAACTAAAGCTTGCTGTCTTGCAAATGGTACTTAAGACAGGCTAATCAGAAAATTTGCGGATGAGTCCTTAACCGTAATTCATGACCCAAAATGAGGAGACATTCTGGCTGGTCGCCTACTCCTCAGAAGGATGTTAGCACCTTACTGATCGTCCTGTTCTCTATTAACGTTAGCTGAGTGGATCTTTTTTTGTATTTTTCTCCCCTTTCGCCGTTATAAGATTTCCTCCTTGTGACTAGCTACAAGTAGTCCCGATTCGTTCAAAGAGCTTTGAATAAGACATCTGTTTGTCAGCAATAACTCTACATATTCATTTGGCAATAGCTCTCTATAAAAAGAGGAATTTTCGGAAACGAACAGCATTCCTAAAGTTATGAGTACATTACTAATTCTACAATCAGATGGGGGCGTCCTATCCATCAGTTAAACGTTTATTTTTGTGAACTAAATTTATGTAATTTTGATTCAGGCATCTACAAAATCTGTATGTCCAAGCCGTTGGTCAACCAAAAAACGCACGGCCAAATACGTAAGCAGTGAAGAGGTTTTCCTGGTCCAGACAGCCCGTTTAGGACTGCTTGGTGGCCATGCCCATTTGAAGACTAGTACGTCCTTTAGCGCAGATATCAGCGCGATTGTTACTTTTTTAGGCTCATAGCGTTTCCATCTACCCCTTCTGAGATTAGGACAATAGTGTTTTTGCAAGCGGTGGAAATTAACGAGATTGAAATGTTTTCTGCGAATTAACTTTTGCGTCAGTTGTGCAGCTTGTCCTTTTTAGCCACTTCCCCATCACCATTTTCGCTTTGTCTTTTTTAGAGCTAAATGAATTGATATTATCTCGAACACACCTATCACTGTGTAAATCAAAAGATACATTTGGTGATGGTAGCAAACTTCCTAGCACATTGTGGTATCCCTTTTGTATTTGCTCGAATCTCTAACAAGAGATGCAAGGAGAAATTATGCATGGGTAAATGATTCCACAGCTTTCTATTGATAAGCGCGGAACTAATGAGGCATTGTTGATTATGAGGCAAAAATAAACGTCCCGCAGTGCCACTTATTCTACTGGAAAACCTCATTGTCGCAGTCGGACGAAACACCGGAAAAACGTATAAGGTATACTTCGCACTGCTGACTTAATGAAAGAGAAATAAACTTCTGCGAAAATATTTCGTGCCCTCTCGGAAAATCAGCCATCATCCAGTACTAAGGGAATCAGTGAATATCTAATTCTGCATCCTGAAGCCGAATATACTCGAAGTTTTGGCTAGTGAGCACGTAGTTTACACTATTCTCGTAAAACAATGTAGTTTTAGTAGTAAGCGTGGTCTTCAGAAGAATGCTTAGTAATTTGATGGGACGCTTGATCGAAGACATTATAGAACACCTAGATTTAGGTTGCTTATTAGTAATCTGATGTCAATGTGCACTCCAAAATTAAAGCCCAGAAGCAATACTCTCACCAACAATGAAAAGCGTTTAGGTTGCTCTGTGTTTAAAAGTATGTTGAAACATCAGCAATGCAAGCATTTTATTTTATTCATTTGATCGTGTTCATATTCCTCAAAACTCGATTAAGTCTAAGGAGTCTAGATAAACTTTTTTAAATCAAAGTAATCGGAAATACAAGTGTTATCTACATCAAGTTACCACGTTCAGTTGTTTTTTGTTCACTGCTGACAACTTTCAACCCTTTTATATTTTTTACCCTAAAAACCAGCTTGATCATCTCAGGATAACTTTCAGGTAACAGTTTGAAGTTCCTTCAGAAGTGAAGTGAAACTTTTGGATATGTAGCTTAGATCGTCACTTGACCAAAGTTATCCACTTGCATTTTGATAAAACAGCCCTGGGTGAAGGAGTTCGGGTAGAAATACTGAAGCATCTGCTATTGACCTCACCCTCAAAGCACTGATAGAAGCCGTGAACAAGAGTGTGTTATAATTGGTGCGTGCATACAACTGTGACTGCTTCAGGTTGTAGTGCCTCAGAAGACCTAAAATGACCACGGTTCCACTCAGACATCAGATCATGAGCAAGTATCCAAGTCCTGTTGATCATGGCTTCTTGATGGAAAGAGATTTGCTCGTTTTCATCGGGGCCGATTAAAGCAAGGCGACTTGTTGGGTTGATTGTGTTAACTGCGACAGTGACAGTAGATTGGGGCCACATGCAGCAGGCGCTTGTGATATAACCGGCACTATAGAAAATGTGTGAAATTATTGAAGTAGACAAATCCACCTTTAGTAAGCGTGGGGAAAATCGGAGACTGTTGAATACCCTTTGGGAACCGCTGAAGAAGAGACCAATGCAAATTTTGAGGCTTTTACTGAAACCTTGAGAACACAAATACCTGACTTTAGTGACGGGTATGTGACCTAAGGTTTAGGAAGAATGTCTAAAATATTATTTCACTATGAACTATGCTGTTTCTCAATAACCAAACTATCTGGTAATTTGTTTGTCACAACAGCCACAACCACAAAGTTATGTTTAACTTTTATCGGAGCCATTTCTATGAAATCAGAATACTCACCAAAAACCGCCGTATTTTTGCCATTTTTCCAGAAAAAATGTGTTCAAAATGGTCACTTCCGCCCAGAAGTAAAAGTAGACGGAAGAAGTGCGTAGAATTCTGTATTACATGTGCAGGGCTAGCAAAGCATCTCAAAAGAAACATTTGAATAACTCTAAGTTTAATGCAGATAAGCTCCCCTGTCGAATTATCATATGCAAATATACCGAAGTAAACGTGATTCTTTGCTTCCACTGTTTTGACAGAGCATCAAGCAACAGAGTTCGTTTTGGCCCATCTGGCGTATTCCGAAAATGAGCCGTCTCCTTGAGCATAAAAGTGTCAGTGGCAGAAGTGTGGACTTGAAAGCTCCTCGCTTAACTTTAACTTAAGCTTCCACTGCAGAAAACGAAACAACCAAACAGGGGAACACAATGATTACCCGGCCACCAATAATATGGATAATAGGTATTCAGCTGTAAAACTCTCTGGTGTACACATGCTGTGCCCTCCGAGAGAATTCACGGGAAATATGATGATGCTAGACTGCTCAAGTCCAGACAGGAGTAACTGAGATGCAGTGATTTGATTCGAATCACCCACATTCCAATCAGTAGGCTTACACGTTAACAGTCAAGCTATCTTTATCATCGGCACCAAGTATCTGGTATTATTTATGAGATTCATATCCTACGGTGCTGTCCTTCATTATTGGATCAGTTGCACGAATAAAACATGCGACTGTGGGTGGATGAAAAATGGCCATCGTTTAACCTTACACTGTTGCCCAGCTAATGCTGGCAAATGTTGAATTAACCCACCTCCTTAGCATGTATCATTAAATTTAACAGGTGCGTTAAACCAGACACTGTTCAGTAGCCAGGTTGGTTTATTTTCGTAAATTTGAACGTTTTCCTGAAGTGACTGAGGCAATACAACGATACATCCATGAATTAACTTGACGGATTTTAATCAGAATCTTCATTTGGAAACGGACTCGCTCAAGGTATACCATTACTATTAATCGTTTAAGTGGATGCTAGCATAATTGTATTTAACACAACTCTGCAATGGGATCCACCTAAGTCTCACTATATATAATCTCATGAAATCAAATTACTAACTGACCCCGACGAAATTCTCGATGGAGAATTGATGATCAAGAGTGTGAAAACGCGTCAGATTGCTTTTTCATAATTTGACATCAGTGGGCTTCACTGGTGCGTTTTTCAAGCCTTTGTTACTAACTGTATGATTTTGTCCAAAATATCGACAGAATCACGATTTTCTCCCCACATCAATGAGATTCTACATAGTAAGAGCGAGTTTAAAGACACATTGGACTGTGTTTTATCGCTACTCTTTTCTTTTCCTGTAGCTCTGTCCAGATTTGTGCCCCCTATTTCTGGAGCAAAGAGGATTTATTTCCTTGAATCCCAATGTGGTCGTCTTATGACAACGAATCTTGGCCCGTGACCCCACCAAATGCGTCGAATATCAGTCATTCTGAGCCATCAGCCAACGTACAACAGACCGTAATCGCCGTTTCATCCTCGCTTATTGCATGTGTTGGCCTCGTTGGAAATGCGCTAAACTTTTTCGTTCTACAGGCGTATCATACATCGCTCGTTACTTACGGTGGAGAGTGCACAGCTCGAGTAAATCTACTAGGATTGGCTATCGCGGATTTCTTTTTGTGTCTGATTACACTTCCGTTGAGTTTTGCCAAACGGGAATACAAATCAAAATCTTTCATGCTTTTCTACACACTTGTGGGACCAGGATTAGCTACATATTTCCTCACAGTCAGTGTATGGATGGTGCTTCTGATGAGCATTGTTCGATACTGGGCTGTTTGCCGACCACTCACCTCACGGACCTGGTTGACACAACTTCACATGCTTCGCGTTATTGTCATATTATATGTGTCCGGGTTATTATTTCACATTCCCGCATTGATACGCCTTCGATATGAAGAGGATTGCGGCAGTTTTTCTGATACTGGACTGCTTGTAACAAATTTCAGTGCACCTTGCGGTGATTTACCGCAGCCTATATTTACAACATATGTCATTTACGAAAAAAATCTGTGGCCCAATCAAACAGTTAAACTAATTTATCATACTGTAGAAATTTTTCTGACAAATATTGGTCCACTAGTTGGCGTAGTTCTCTCAAATCTGGCTGTGATACGTGCTTGCAAAAGAAGTGACGCCTGCCGAAGATCTTTCGTCGAATCTTCCCAACAGTTTCACAACAAAAATGGGATTACATCCTCCGTAGCAACGGAACCACCATATGTGCCAACTGCCAGGGCACATCCATTGTACAAACGCCCAATTACTGCCACACGCGATCAAATTTACACCACACCGGGGGTTTTCGTCTTTAGCCCGACTACCCCGTTCAGACAGTCCTTACACCGTTATAACAACCGGGCTACCAATCGTGTTACACCTCTTTTACTTACAGTAATATTTGCCTTCCTGTTGTTCATTGCTCCATTTGGGATAGTGCATCTGGTTTGTGTTCAGGTAATGCGGGATATGGGGGAACGAGTACGAGACGACCCTGAAGCACGCAGTTTATATGCCGCACTAAATTTGACTGTCCAATGGACCAATGTTGTCCAACTTCTGGGATGCGCTTTGAACTTTTTTCTTTACTTCCTTGTATCTACAACCTTTCGACGGACTACAAAACGTACATTTAAAAAGTTTTATAAACGCCTCAGGTCATGTCAGCAGGAGTTCCGACGATCATTTCGTATACATAGTTCCACTCCGACCGAGTTTTCGGATGACGACATAAGAACAAATGAGCTACGTCGAGCACTCAACTTAAAATTAGCTCCTGTCTGTGTTACGGACGCACATTTGACAGCAAACAGATCTGACGCCAACATGCGACAGCGCATTACTCATCTATTTCGGCTGCGTCGTACGACACCAACCCCACCCTCAACGAACTGCACGGGTGAACCACATGTACACTCTTGCCCTCTGCCTGGTTCTCGATGGAATAGCGATCTGTTAGATACCATGGTAATCAACCACTCATGTGGGCAACTGAAATGTGACTGTGAGGTTTGCTGCAGTGCTCTCCCGGTTTTCGGACAATTCAATGCACGCTGTCCCCATTGTTCACAACTGTTCACACTGGATATTTCTTTACCTGAGAAACAACTACAATCAACAACAATCCCCTCAACCTCAAGACAAAAACGTTTACGGACAAGTCACAACGGCAACAAGCAGGTTCATTCAAAATGTTCCGGGTGTTATTCGTATAATTCTGATTTAAAACGCATTCCAAGACGATTCACACAAAATGACGAGCACCGCAGCATACCCAAAGAAGAGATTAGTCATTTTCCTTATCTCTACGACAAGAACTCTCGGCATTCTTATCACCATTCTTATCGTGTTCACTGTAAACCTAAAACACACTTCCCTGCTCAAGAAGCTACCACGTGACTTAATTATGCTGAAGGTTTTTTTAAACGAAGACTAAGAGCGTGATTATCCTTATTCTTCAACAGTATTGGATTGATGACTTCAATTGGTACCGGGACTTGGGTTGTTTAATCGTTTGGAAAACCGAGGAAATAGTTGCAAATCCAAACTCTTAAGACGGATGGGTGTAATAAGCTTTTAAACGCGCAGTATATGAATTGTGCTGCATAAAGTTCTTCGTCTTTCCACTTGGAACTAAGTCTCATTTCGTCCATCTTATTGTGAAACCAAGGGTGTTCGAATACAAGTTCTATGGGGACACCTATAAATAAGAAGCAAACAATGAGATGATATGTTGCTAGTTCCCTTATAACATGGAATATCCGCATTTGTAGTTTCCAAAATAATGATGATCGCAGGCGATGAGAAACTTTGTTGAAAACTGCCCTGTATTTGTTTTTGAAAGGAAAAAATCGAATTCCGAAACAGCAGGGGATCTGCTTGGTCTTCCTGAATGTTTTCACTCTGATGGTTAAAGGATTCTACCAAAAAAGATACACAGTTAAGAAAGCTTGAGTAGTTTATCAAAACTTACACCAATTTTATCCGAAATTTAGTTTCAGTATAACATAAGCTCGACGAAAACTCGGAGACTGCGACCACCTAATGAGCCCTAAGAACAGCAAAACCGGTGGCGAACTGTTGACGAGTCCTTTGAGAACTTACGTGTATTATATTGAATCCAAATAAATCATTTAGTTATTTATTTTGGAGGGTAAGAAGTACGTGATTAAAACATAGCGGTCACACTAAACAGAAGTCCTAGAATAAACAACAAATAAAAAGTGATCTCGAATAGAAATTTTGCTGTCACCAGACTGACCAGAATTAGGATGAACTGAATGTAAGGGTTTAAGTTACTTTTTTCTCTCAAACAGATGTGGCTCGTTTGCCGTTTGCTTACTGTTTTTAGTAAAAGAACGATGTCGAGTAGGCCAATTAGGGGAAAATGTTTTTTTGGCTTAAGATTATCTGAACTAAGGCCAGCATAACAAAGTTGCAAAGTGGTTGCTCCATGGATGTTTCGCGTCAAGACGTTTCGGCGTAATGCTGTTTTGTTGGCTTGTACAAAAGGATTCAGTACTCTGAGACTAATCGGACAAAACATAAGCTTATTGCTCAGCCGACTAAACTGCTACTACCAAGTGCTTTGGTTTCATCAACGAAGTGAGTGAGGCGATAATGAAAAAAGGACTTAAAAACACTAAAGATGCATGGTAGAGTCGGAGCTCGTTTTGCACTTTGTTGCCAAGTAATGAGAAAGCAGTAAGTTCTACGTAAGTTAGCAGGATTTTTGTGTCTACATTCAAAAGGGTCAATTAAATTTGCCTGGAAGTTTAAGCTGTCTGGTCACACGCATGCAAAACAGTCATCTTTAGGGTATTTTACAGGGTTACTAATTCGAAGACTTTGATTAGCTTTTCTCGCAGTTGCCTTACAGATGGAGCAAAAAAGGCTCACCGTTATTATTAAACCTTCCAAAACAAATTGTTAACTGAATTCTCAACTTAGAGAAATCAGGTATCGTGGCTTTTGTAAATGAAACTTTTTTGAAGCAGCTACTGTTTAAAGAAAATTAACTTCGGGCAAATTCGCTAAAAAGTAATTAGAAAGCTAAATTGAAGGGAAAATAATATCACCCCTTGCACTGACACAAATGGTGAAGAAAATTGCAGTATTTTCAGTAATTTTAGGGTCTAAACTGGTTTATGGGATGGCTATTCCGCCATTTCAGCAGTACACAAGTCCACTTGGAGAAAAGCTGGTTTAATGTAAGGAAGAACGTGGAAAACTGGCACGTTGTTAGATAACTTGAACCAAAATGTTCTCATGCAGCATATATTAGGAGGACACTACATAGAGTCAGCTGTAACCGACTGTAATTTCTAGTATCCTCATACAAAGGGTAAATTGAGTAATTCATAACAATCATAATTGAAGTTAGTGGGGACACTATACGCTAATTTAAAACTCAAGCTAATTTGCGGATCAAATATTGTAAGGCAAATTTCATAGCCAATGAAAACTCTAGAAATATTATCTAAGTTATAAGTGCAATGCAAAAAACTGAGGATCTCTTACACGAGTAAATAGTCAGGACTCTGTGAGTATATAAAGTAATAAACTGTCTGTGGAGTTTTTTGACATAGTAATATGAACCAACAAAACACACCCGATATGCACAAAACCTTGTAATAAGTTACTTCATTGAGATCCGGAAATATTCAACCTGTGTACCTGCTGAAGCTTATGTGGATTAGACACAATAAACAGGATTAGCGCATGACTAGTCTTGAGAAAAGTTGGACAACCACACATAATCCTACACAGACTCACATCAG